ATTTAACCATAACCGTAATGTGCAAAATCTTTGCCACACTGGTGCTTAACAGACTCTCTGTAAATGGCATCATTTATTGGTATATAAATGTATATATTCTGGTTGTCAGATCCCTGGTAGTGTGGTGGTCCTGCATTGGACTGAGATCTATTTGCTCGGCATTTCAAAACCACCAGAAGCTCTGAGGGAGAAAGAGTGGGCTTCCCACTTCCATAAACAGTTACAGTCTCACGAACGCATAGTGGGGTCACTATGAGTCAGCATTGACCTGATGACCATCAGTTGTTTGTTGTTTTATACTCATACGAGTTATTGAATATGACAGGTCCTGTTGTAGGTGTTAAGAATTACAGCAGTGAACGAGGCAACCAAGAGCCTGGCTTTCTGGAAGTAGGGGATGATTCAAAACAAAGAAGGCAGTTTCATAAATATATTCTTATTAGATTATGGCAAGTGTTATAGATAAACAAAAGCAGGGAATGAGTTAGGGAACCAGAATTGGGTAATACATTTAAATAAGGTGATCAGGAATGATTTCATTGAGGAAGTGTTTGAGAAAGATCAAGCGAAAGAAGAGGGATCGTGGAGACATTATTGTCTATCCCGCGTTTTTACTGTAGGGAATGGTGTATGGGGCCGTTTTTCATTCACTGTTAGTGCTTTCTCCTACAAAGTGTCAGTGTGCTAAGGCGTGCTGGTTCCGAGGGAGGAACGAGTGCTATTTCATGGAGGGTTGAAAGCGCACGTGCAAAGGCTCTCTGAAAGGGGCCTGTGGCTCTGGAATTGAGTGAGCAGCGGGGAGAGGAGTCCATGGGCAAGGCAGAGCTAACTACATGACTCCCGTATGCCTCAGAGACGATTAGGATGACTTTGCATTGTCGTTCTACAAAGCCAAGGAAGGGTGTTGACGAGGGACGTGCGAAGATTTAATGTAAACCCATTATTGATCAAATTAAATATTCTTAACACTCAGCTTGCAGAAAGAGATCACACTATAGAATGTACAGTTGAAGCAAACTGAGACGTGCCTTCCCTCCCTGACAGCCATACCAAAGTGTAGTTCCCTCATTGCACCGAGTCCCCTCCGGTCGCCCAACCCGCTCCTGTCTTTACAAGGCACTTTCCCCTCTGTCAGACTGATACTCCTTGTCTGCTCCTAGAAGACAGTTCTTGGGAGGGATTAAGCATCATCAGAACAAAAAATCTTACTATAGCGAATGAGGGGGTCGTGCAGAGTGAAGACCCAAAGCCCATTTGTAGGCCACTGGAGATCCCCTTGCAGAGGGGTCTCGGGGAGGAGACGAGCCAGTCAGGGTGCGATGTAGCAATGATGAAACATACAACTTTCCTCTAGTTCCTAAATGCTTCCTCCGCCCCCCCACTATCATGATCCCAATTCGACCTTGCAAGTCTGGCTAGACCAGAGGATGTACACTGGTACAGATTGGAACTGGAAACACAGGGAATCCAGGGCGGATGATCCCTTCAGGACCAGTGGTGTGAGTGGAGATACTGGGAGTGTAGAGGGAGAGTGGGTTGGAAAGGGGGAACCGATTACAAGGATCTACACGTGACCTCCTCCCTGGGGGACAGACATCAGAAAAGTGGGTGAAGGGAGACGTCAGACAGGGCAAGATATGACAAAATAATAATTTGTAAATTATCAAGGGCTCATGAGGGAGGGGGGAGGGGGGAGGGAGAGGGGGAAAAATGGAGGACTTGATGCCGGGGGTTTAAGTGGAGAGGAAATGTTTTGAGAATGATGAGGGCAATGAATGTACAAATATGCTTTACAAAATTGATGTATGTATGAGTTGCGATAAGAGTTGTCTGAGCCCCTAATAAAACTATTAAAAAATAAATAAATAAACTAAAAAAAATTTTCATTATGAAAACAAACAAACAAAAAACAACCTACTCTGTGTTAACTGGCAACACAGCAAAACCCCTATTTCCAAATAAGGACATATTCACAGATACCCAGGGTCAGGGCTTCCACATATTTTTGGAGAAGATACTGTTCAGCCCACAATGCCTTGAGGAAGAAAGGCCAGTGGAGGGGCGGGTAGATTGGAGCTGCGGAAATTCCAAAATAGATGCTGTGGTCGGCCTCCCCACGACTGACTCATCTGTCAATGCTCCCTAATATTTGGCACAATATAGAAGAGACAGACAGGTGCATACGGAGTCGTGACAAAAGGAATGCAGTAAGTACTAAGACAGAGGGATGGATAAGAAGTCCTTTGCATTTTTTTTCAAAACCATTTTATTGAGAGTCAGTACGGATATCATATCATTCCATAGTTCAATGCCATCAAGCAGTGTTGTACAATGGCTACCACCATCAGTTTCAAAGTCTTTTGTGTCTTTGTGAAGAATTTTATTCATAATTATTTCCTCCTCAGAAGGATCTTCCTGCGCACCTTACCTAAACACATCACCCTGTTCCATCAAACTGTCTCATAACACTTCTTTTTTCTCCCATGGAATTTCTTTTCTGAAAATAATATTGTTCAGCTTCCATTGACCATTGTCTCTCTCGGAAACTCCATGAAGGCAGGGATTTTATTTGCTTTGTTGTTGTTGTTGTTATACCCGTAGTTTCGAACTATTGAAGATATTTGCTTACTAAACATCTGGTAGCTTATTGAATCATCTATTTTTTGGAACTCAGTAAGCGATCTGCTTTCAAAAGTTGGAGCTTTTTCTTTAATCCCTCACTTGGTTATGGAGAGATTAAAGTCAACCTTGTTATCTAATTTCTTGTGAGGACAATTAGCAACTGTTACTCACACAGAAAGATTTTTCATCAGCCAACTCATTTAGATGGCTCGTGGCAAAAGACTGGTCCATTTCCTTTCTCTTTTATTCAGCTCAAGACGTGCCAGAAAAGGGCAGATAATATTGTTTTGCACTTTCCTGTAAGATCTTCTGGTGGTATTAAAAAGCTGTCACCTCAGCTGATGGGATGTGCTTCAAAGAACCCCCTTCCGAGTATCATAGTATCTGCGGAACCAAGCATGATGTCCTTCTCCAGGGACTGACCTCTCATGACAACATGTTCGAAGGATGTGAGAAGAAGTCTTGCTATCCTTGCCTGTCAGGAGCACTCTGGCTGTACTTTTTCCAAAACAGACTTGTTTGTTGTTTTGGCAGTCGATGGCACTTTCGGTATTTTTCACCAGCACCGTAATTCAAATGCACCAATTCCTCTTTGGTCTTCCTTATTCAATGTCCAACTTTCACATGCATCTGAGGTTTGGGTCAGGTGAACCTTGGGCTTCAAAGTAAGCCAGGTAAGCCAGTAAGCCTGTATTACCAAAGTAATATCTTTGCCTTTAAACACCTTTTTTTTTTAAATTTGATCTTTTTTTTGGCCTTTTAACCTGTAAGGAGGTCTTGTGCAGCAGTTAATCTTTTGACTGCTGCTTCCATGGACATTGATTGTGAATACACGGAAGGTGAAAGCCTTGGCAACTTCAATATTTTCTCTGTTTATCAAAATGTTACCCGTCGGTCCAGTGGTGAGTATTCAGGCTTGTTTGCATTGAGCTGTAATCCACATTGGAGATTGAGCTACATCAGTTTCAGCAGGGCAACTGCTGGAGGTTCAGGACAGATTCAGAAGACGACTTGGAACAAGAGACATTTTTGCTGATGTCACATGTAAAGGCTGAAATCATAGGATACAAGAATGATCTTTATTGGAACTTTTTAATAATATTCTTCAGAGAAGTATCTTCTTATTGTGTCTAATCTATTAGATTCTGGGAGAAATTTGTATATAAATTTCTAATAATTTATGTATAGTATACCTATTTTTTGTTTATATCTTTTGATGTTGTAGGTGCACATATGTTTGTAATCATTTTATTTTCCTGGGATCTTATTCCCTTATTACAATTGTTTCTCTTTATTTCTTATGCTTAAGAAATATATCCCTTTTCCCCTGATATAAATTTTAATAGTTTGGGAATCTCTTTTTTTCAGGAGTTCTATATCTTTATTGTGTCACATACCCCTTTGGCAACTTGGTGAGGTTTGCCAACCTCCTTCCAAAAATAGTGTTTTAAAATACATAGACCATGTAGCATTATCAAGCTCATTCATTGTATTAAAATTATCAGAATATTTAAAATAGTTGTGATGTATGCATTCATTCATGTACTAAATAACACTGTCTAGCAGTAAGCCTAATGTCTACTGTGATTTGGAAGTAGTGATACAATTAAAATATATTTTGACATATTGCAATAAAGTAAAAATGAAAATAAAAAAAAGAATGCTCTTTACTTGTGTTTTATTGACTATACAAAGGTATTTGACTGTGTGTATCATAACGAACCGTGGATAGCATTGAGAGAAATGGGAATTCCAGGACACTTGTGCTCACAGGGAACCTGTACATGGATCAAGAGCCAGTTGTGCAAACAGAACACTGTATGGCTTAAAATCAGGAAAGGTGTGCATCAGGGTTGAATCCTCTCACCATACTTATTAAATATAAATGCTGATCAAATAATCAGAGAAGCTGTATTATACTAGGAAGTCTGTGGCATCAGAATTGGAGGAAAGCTTATTAACAACCTTCAAAATGCACACGACACAACCTTGCTGGTTGAAAGTGACGAGGACGTGAAGCACTTGCTGATGAAGATCACAGGTATTGAGTATGCACTACAGTTCCACATAGTGACCCTACAGGACAGTATAATTGCCCCTTTGAGCTTCTGCGACTGTGAATCTTTAAAAGAACAGACAATCTCATCTTTCTTCCCCAGAGTGTCCAGTCTTTTGAACCACAACAGAACTCCTTGGGAGTTCACATAGTGATGCAATATTACAACATCTAGTCTTAAGAAACCTGTTGGAGATCATTAAATGCATCTGACAGGCTAGTGCAAAGGCTATTTATTACCAAAGGAAAATGTCATCCAAAGTAAGTAATTTATTTTGTAATACAGTATGAAAATATTTTTATATACAGATATGGTGTCAAAATTAAATATACATATTGTAATGAATAAACCGTCAACATATATTATTCTCTTAAAATATACCTAAAAAATTGCAAACTCAAAGAAAAAAATCAAACTCATTTGGACAAGTTTGTTATACATAAAGGACAAAAGTAACTCATCAGTCCTGATTGAGCTTCCTTACAAGAGATAGCATTCTGTTTTATGAAATTATCTTTATTGTCATTTAAATACAGTTGATATATCATTTACTGAAGGCACTGTGTTATCCTTTCATGTTTAAGTACATCTCCTGATATCTCTTGAAAATATCTTGGACTCCTTTATACTGTTATAGCTGGAAGGTGTATGGCTTGCATGTTCTAATAACTGTTTAAACCCTGAAATAGTTCCAGCAAAGAAGATGCTAATTTCCACCCTAATTGCAAGACACCAACACAGAGTGAGCCATAAGAAACATGATGTTGATAACTAAGCAATGTTAATTTTGAATCCATCTCTACAAGTATTGTACTGCCTAGATTAGATACTTCCCACTGAAATGTTTAAACACATTGATAAAGTATTATTGCAACTGGTACCTTATATGGCTGTCTTATACAAAATCAGTTCAGGATTAACAGAGATTGATATGTTCCCACTTACATAAAAATACAGTATGAGTTGCAGCATGTGGCTTACACAGTTAATGTCCATCTTCTAGTGTGACAATATGGAAATTTTCAACAGTTGTCCATTTTAATGAGGAGGCATTCGGAAGCTTCTAGGAGGTGTTCTGTCTCCCACAAAACTGCATGAGCAAATCTTTGACCAACTCAATTGAAGTTCATACACTTCTAGATTGCCATTCCATATTTTTCAGGGCTCTTTAGCACCTTTCAAAATTTTATTCCAACAAGTTTTTATTTTTTCTAGTAGTATCCTTAGAAAACACAAGTCCTTCTGCCTTTTCTGTTCCTTCAACAATGTATTCTCTTCCTAGATAAATATATACAAAGGCTTTATTACATTTTCATAAACATTATTTTTAGTAGTTAATGTGTTTATAACTATCTTTTTTGGTAAGTACTTTAAAAGCTATCAGGTTAGGCCTTATAGAAAATATGATACAAAGCTTGGTGTCATGAAAGAAAGTTGTGGAATGGTTTTAAAACGTGACTTCTAGATAGTAATTTTGATGAATGAAGTGTGGGGGATGCAAGGTGGATGTGTACATAGGGCTAATGAAAGTGCTGTGTCGAGGTATTTTCACACTGCAATTGGGGATATACTAATACTGTTTAAGTAAGATATTTGTAGATTTGCACTTGAGGGTTTTTTATTTAAGTTTTAATATTATTCCTTCTCAAACAAAACAAAAACCATCAAACCAAACTCACTGTCAAGTCACTGCTGACTCACAGGGACCCCTATGGGTTTCTGAGACAGTTCGCTATTTACGGGAGCAGAGCGCCCAGTCTTTCTCCCCTGCAGAGCTGCTGGTGGTTTCGAACTGCTGACCATGTGGATCACAGCTCAATGTGTAACCACTATGCCACCAGGACTCCTATTATTCCTTCTACTAAGGAAAAATAAACACACACACACACACCCTGAAACATGGAAAATGTAAGTTTAGTGGAAGTAATAACACTGAAAGGCTTCTTTAATTTTATCAAAAGAACATGTGCCCTTTATATAATGAGATACTGGTTGAGCCTGTGCCCCAGGGTTCACTCTGTCATGTGGCCTTCATCAGAACCTGGAAGATGCCTGTCTCATAAGCTAACTTTTAGTAACTGATAGAATCATAAAATCTCACAGAAAGTGGAGAAATACAAGAGAACACTGCATGAAATCAGAGTCCCTGAGCAGTGCAATGAAACTCGATTGATACAAGTCTATCAAGAGGTTCCGTGGGAGGAAAACCTGGGGACCTAGTCTGACAAAGCAGTCATTGAAACCGCTATGGAGGAGGGACCTGCCTATCACCAAGAAAGGAGCAGGCATGTCCTTTGGACCAGAGGTCCCTGCGCTGAGATGGCCCAGAGCCCAGGGAAGATTGATGCCAAGACACATGGAGATCGCCAAGTAGTGCCAAGCACACAGATATTGAAAGGAGGCAAGGACCTTCCTCTAGAGCAGCCTTACCCTGAATTCACACTTTTGCCCTCCTGACCTGTGAGAGAAGTTTCTGCTCGTTATAGCCTCCCTCCCTCCAAACCAAACGCAAACCCAAGCCCTTAGAGAGCACTGTTCTCTGACCCGCATAGGGTCCCCACGAGACGAAATTAACCAATGGCAGCGGTTTATAATACATCTCTGAGACTGCGAGGCCCATAGGAAGGATCACAGCTGATTCGTGCAGAAATCAATCGCTGTTGAGTGGATTCTACCTCACGGCAAACTTATCATGGGAGCGTAGAAGTATGGACCACTCCAATATTCAATAATTGACTTTTCAGCATCCTCAAGCCTTTCTCCCGAGGCACCTCTGGGTGGACTTTAAACACCACCCTTTCAGACAGCAGCTGAGCACTCAACTATTTGCACCACCAAGGAACTCTAAGGGTAGCAAATATCAGGATATCTCTTCTTAAATAACAATCAGCGACTGGGTGTTTTCTTGGTCAGGTATTATGTTCAATGCTTTCTGTATTATAGATCACTGTATCTACTTAATAAACAGTAGATCACTTTATCTACTTAATAAACCTTATAAACTAAATGATATCACCTCACTTGAAAGATGAAGAATTGCACTTCAAAGAGATAAATAACCTGCCAAGATCACATTGCTAATCAGTAGAATTGATTGGATTTGATGTCCAATTCTGTCCAATCTAGAGGCCTGTATATATGAGTATGTTTTTTAATTTGGACACAAATTAGGCCTGTATATGAGTATATTTTTTAATTTGGACACAAATTAGGATTTCTATTAGTGAAACTAATACATAATTATTTTAAGCAAACATTCCAAAAATTAGAGGACAAATTTCGAAGATAGAGATGGAGGCAAGTATCATAATTTTTAAACAGGGTCCCAGCACTTTTTTTTAAGTACACACTGAAACTATTTGATTGAGCATATTTTAAATACATAAAGTCATGTCTTTCCCTAAGAGGTCCAGAATAAGCACTCATTAAAAAGAAAACTTTATTTTAGCCGCAATCCTGGAAATATAGAAAGTACCTCCCTTTTCTAAACTTTCTTTCCAAATGCTTTTACCCAGAAGTCCCCAGGACATTCACACAGCTTTTAGCTCATGCATTCATTCCAAAATGTCCCTTTCAACTTGAATTCCTAGGGTTTCTGAGGCCAGGGACATGCAGCCTCACATTGATCCTCTGAGATGAGTAAGGGATTTCCCGGTTCCATATGTCTATGAAGCCCGCCTCATGGTGCTATGGCTTAGGCATTGGACCCCTAGCAGGTTCAAATTCAGGAGCTGATGGGCAGGAGCAAGTTGAGACTGTCTACTCCAATAAAGGTTCAGCCTGAGAAATGCTCTGCGAGATGGTTATGTGTCAGATTCATTTGATGGCAGATTTTTAATGTATAGAAGGAGAAGTATGTATATTAACCAGCATACACACTGCCATTGTTTCCATTCCGACTCATACCTATACTATAGGACAGAGTAGAATTGCTCCCACTTTCCAAGGCTGTTATACATTTCAATGGAAAAAGCCTGCCTCATCTTTCATCTCTGGACTAGCTAGCGGGCTGGAACCACAGACTTTTCTGTAACGGATCCAGTGCTTAACCCCTTGTGATACCAGGGTGTAACTCCTGTAGTACCAGGCATGCGTGCATATTGTATCAAACTCCAAGTCCCAGCCATCAAGTTGACTTCCAAGTGGACTGCTAACTTTACTGAGTATCAAATGGGTGCGTGCATCAGTGTACATTTCCGTAGTAAGTAGAAAAGATGGCCTTTCTCTTCTTGTATATGTTTCCTACTTTACTTCCTCCTTTATAAATTGTTTGTGTCTTTTAGCTATTTTCTACTGAGGGGTTAATGTGGTGGTGGGAGTGCCGGTGTATCTGAAATTTTCCCTAGTTCCTTTACTTTTAAAATACTTTAAAATGCCATTAAAAAGGTCACAGATATTAAAGAGACCATCTTACTCCTTTTATTAATCCTATAATGAATATTTTCGAAACCAATCACTGAGAGGAGAAAAAAATGAAAGAGAAACATGAGGGACTGAGTTAAAGGAATAACTGATGAATAATTATAAAAACATTACGCAATAAAAAAATTACACAATCACTCTCACCAAATTCTTAGTGGGCTGGGCTTCACCCGAGGGAGATACTTTTCTTCCTTTTACCTTTAAAAGAAAGTAACATACACAATATGGAATATTACTAATGTATTGATTCTCCAATTAGTTATAATAGCTATTTTTATATTACTCTCCATTCACTTAGTTCATTTGAGGATCTATTTTTAGTTCCTGATTGTTAGAATGGTGCATACAATTTCATTTATAAATAGGGTCCCAGAGGCAGGAAGCAAGAGAGGTTAGTTCTCCGAACGCCCTGGATTGATAATTTTTCAAGTATGCCAGGTACTATGTTAGTTGCTGCGAGGAGTATGAAAAATTAACATAAAAGGGTATATTTAAAGAGATCAAACTAGCATTTAAGTAAATGTGAATGAAAGTTAGTACTAAACTGTGAAAACTAACCGAATGTTTTATTAAGTTTTACTCATCAGAGGCCAAACAACATTTAAAAAGCAACAACCTTCACTTATAACATATCTGCCTCAAGAACAAAATTCAACGTAGCTGACTATCTTCTTTAATATCTCAGCTTATCATTTCAAGAAAAAGGTGGAGAGAAAATCCAGGTTAAAGTTATAATACACTGTCCTTCATTTATGTGAATTATCGATGTTGATTTTGTTTCCACAGTGCATTGCTTCTGAAGCAATGTGATCCATGCAAAGCTTAAAGTATAAGAGAAAAAACTGCAAACAGATAACACCCCTGTGACCCTAATTCCTTCCTGGGTCACTAGGCGACGTCATTAGTCTGGTTGGCACTCTCTTCAGTGGACTCAAATGCGAGGTTTATGTTCAACATAGTGTGTCTGGCAGTCACTACTAAGCGACTGGACTATGTAAGTTACATAAAGCCTGTCTGCCATCAGGTTTATAACCAAGACTATTGTGAATGCTGAGGATATGGAAGAGCACAGAATGGGCAACAGGCTTGGCACATCCAGAACACAACAGACCATCTTAATAACCCAGTGCTAAATGAAGCCATCCAAGTTATGTAAACTTCATTCCCACCACTGTCAATGGGGTTCAAAAATAATCTTAGCGATTTTACCTTCTGTGAAAAGCCACTGGCATTCAAAACTAAACCAAATGAAACCCTTATATCCTAAAAATGTTAATTAAAAATCAGATTAATTTTTGGCTTTGTATGATAACTGGTATAATCCTTGAAGAGGATGGTGATGATAATAATAATAATACATTGTAACATTTATTGAAACACTTTTGGTACTAAGCATTTTACAATAATTATGGTATTTAATTCGTTCAACATCATATAATGAATATGCCATATTTCTCATAATTTTGCAGATAAAAAAACTTGTCCAATCCTAAGATAATATCTTCCAAAGTTTGTTTTATTTATTTTTATTTCACAAGTAGAGAAATATTATTTGTATCAGAATAATTAAAGAAAAAAGTAGGAAAAGTTTGACATTATATGTTCACCTGTAGCATATAAAAATATTTGTTAGATCTACTTGATTATTTGTTTTCATGGTTAGTTCTTATAAATGTGGGCACATATGAATTAAAAATATTAAGAGGTTTTAAAGGTAAAAAACTTACTTCTCTCCACCCAATATAAAGTGGATATAAATATTACATCAGGATATAATAAATTAAGATTAAGATTTTATAAATTATAATTATATAAGGATATAAATAAATATTCTCCTAGTCTCCTAGGAAATTATCTTGGCAAAGAAGTATCCCTTCCTTTATTTTTCCTCCCTTTTCATGAACGATTCAGCAAGAGATGAAGAAGTACCTTCCAAACTGATGTTTTCATCTTCTAGAATGAAGTAGGTACATTTCAACTCTACACTCTACTAAGTCGTTGGACTTCTATGAAAACGTAAGTGACCTACAGAGACGGCCGGAAGAGGGAGAGTGGATATTTGTGATCGCAGTCAGGTGGTCAGCTTACCTTGCTGGAGCAGTTCAAAAGTTCTAATGTGCCTTTTGAAACAATTGACAAGTGGACACTGAAAGCCTCGCTGATATTCATTTTAAGAAATTGCCTCAACTTTCGAGCAGCCCGATAGAGAAACATAGCTTCCTATTTTAGAAAGAAAGTCAGAAAGGATTGTGGTTTAAATAAAATATTATTAGATGACAATAAACTTTCTTTAAAAGCATAGAGTTGTGTCTCTTAAGTCATGTCCCACCTCCACCCTAGCGTTCTTTTCCAGTGAATCACATGATTGACAAGCAACAGCACGAAAACTGCATAGCTCCTGATGACAACGTGAACAGGGGCGGGTTTTCTAGTTCGTCTATCTCTTTTTTCTCTTACATATGTGAATTTATCAGCGAAGAGTGCACAGATGACAATACTCTTGTAACAAGTTATCCAAAAGAGGAGGTTTTGGAAACCTACAAAAATAAAAGCTATGCATGGTTTATTTATCGTCATTGTTTTTGCACTTTTTGAGTTATAAGTGACTAGCTGATAATACAAATAGAGAGCCATAGTCACCTAAAATTCATGTTTTCAGCTATTTAAAGCAATAAGTAATATGTAAAGACATATATGTAAATGCAGATGGAAGCATAAGTATAGGTTTAGGTGATGCAGTATAAAGATGATAGACAGACTATGGGAAATCATGTGGTTAACTCAGCTATGTCTATTTTAGAAGACCATCAAAGAGCACACTACTTTCTCTGCAAAGAGGATACAAACTTTTGAAGGTATTGCAAATTGTAGTATTAAACCAATGGGAAGTGATAATAGCTTAAAGACAAGCAAATATGAAAGACAAAATTCAAAATGCCTGTAATCAAGGAATTTTATGATTTGTTTGTGTGTATGCAAATAGTCACTTTAATGAGTATTTTCCTGCAAGAAGAATTCAGAAATAAGAGATATGTATAGCCTTGAATTCTGCAGTTCTTCTGTTACTTTTAAGGTGAAATTTGAGTGTTAAAATAGAAAAGTCACTAAACACAGGGTTATTTGTATAGTGAAAGTATACAACTAGACTGTAGTATATTATTATATACTATATAGTATTATAAACTCACTGCCATCGAGTCAGTGCTGACTCATAGCGACTCCCTGTGGGTTTCCCAAACTGTGACTGGGACTGAGGGACTAGGACGCTTGGCCTTTCTCTTGTGGAGCTGCTGCTGGTTGTAAAGCGCTGACCGTGCGGATTGCAGCCGAACGCATAACCACGACCTCACCAGGGTTCCTGCTATATGATTACAGTAGATGTATATAGTATAGTGTATAGTATATGTGGTCTGAACTGGAATAATATATTGTCAGTAGAGTTGTTCAACAGAGGCACAACAATATAAGCATCCATAAAATCAAACTTGAATGACATATTATTTCCAAATAATTATCATTACCTTATTATCATCACATGAGTGCTTTTTTAAAAAGTTAGATTCATTTGTCAGGCAATTGCTACCAATTTCTATCATATCATCCTGTAATAAATGATACAAAATAATAAGGTTAAAATTTAAGACTTTTGTAAGATGTACTAATTACAAAAGTAGCAATATTATAATAGTGGTATTTACCTGTACATTTTAAAGAACATAACTTTAAACTGACTCAACTGATTATGTATAAAGAATAGTGTTCTGTAATTGAAGAATAAACAAATAAGTTCTCACATATATGGAATACCTCTCAACTAAAATAATCAAATCAAATCAATTGCCATCAGGTTGATTCCTACTGAGAGCAATCCTACACGGGGTTTCTGAGGCTGTAACTCTTAACGGGAACAGGTAGGTTCATCTTGCTCCCTCAGAGTGGCTGGGGGGTTTGAACCCCCAACCTTGCGATTAGCAACCAAACACTTACCCAACAGTACCGCCAGACATTCCAGTCGCCTTAATTTAATCCTAGAAGTCATTGATAGACTCTGGCTCAACTGAGTACAAAGAGAGACCTATTTTAGAGGTGATACCATGTAGGCAAAAATAAACCAGCAAAAGAAAACAAAAACTCCTTGTCATCGAGTTGATTCAGACTTATCGTGGCCATCCAGGGCAAAGTCACCATCCATGTGTTGCCAAAGCCATCGTATTTATGGACACATACAGCCACATCGCTCTCCTACAAAGCTACTAGTGGGTTTGAACAACCAACCTTTTGGTTATTGGCTGAGCATTTAACCATGGTGCCACCAGAGCTGATAAACATATGGAAACCGTCTTATAAGTGTTCAAATCGTGAAGTTGAGATGGATTTAAGAAGTTATTCTAATATCTTTTCACATCAAACAGCACAAAGGAAATTTAGATTAGAATTAAGGGAAAGTCACTTGATAATGAGGGTAGAATATAGAATTGGTCCTACGGTGTTTTTTAACAATTCAGTTTATCTGAGATGATTGAGGTAAAAGTTTGCTGTTAGCAGTGTGATTGGATGTGTGTGGATCATAAACAAAGGTGGATAAGGCAGATGGCAATGTATCTAATTTTCTTTTCTAAGGACCATAATATAAAAAGATGGGATTACCTAAATCAAGAATTACTTGGCATATTAGGACAAACTTACTAAAAATACAGGCACCCTGGTGGTGTAGTGGTTATGAATTGGTCTGCGATCAGAATTGTCAGCCATTTAAAACTGCTAGTTGCTTGATAGGGGAGAAATGGGACTCTCTACTCCTGTAAACAATTACAGTCTCAGAAACTCTTGGGGCAGTTTTACCTTGTCCTATAGGGTCACTGTGGTAGTTACATAATTTCACGTCAACTTAAAGATACATAAAAGGGCAGGGCTGGTATTCCACCTGTCCATCAGGGTACAGCCTGATGGTGGCTCCTTGTGGCTGTGGCCTTCTTATAAGGAAGGCCCTGGGAACCTCTCCTTTCTCTCTGCATTCACTTTCCTTCCAGCTGACCTGTTACTGCCAGGGCCTTGGATGCTTCCACTGCCATTGGATCCACATGACTGCACCCACAAACTTGTGATATTCCTCCATTCAGCATCACTGTCGGTGACTGCTAGAGTCTGAAGACGGACTTATGAACTAGTATCAGACGTGTGGACCTGGGTTGGACTGGGCTGGGATGTTATCTTGATATATAATTACTTCTTTTTTAAAAAAAATCATTTTATTAGGGGCTCATACAACTCTTATCACAATCCATACACACATCAATTGTGTAAAGCGCATTTGTACATTCATTGCCTTCATCATTCTCAAAACATTTTCTCTCCACTTAAACCCCCGGCATTAGGTCCTCATTTTTCCCCTCCCTCCCCGCTCTCCCCTCCCTCATGAACCCTTGATAGTTTATAAATTGGTATTTTGTCATATCTTGCCCTGTCCGACATCTCCTTTCACCCACTTTTCTGTTGTCTGTCCCCCAGGGAGGAGGTCACATATAGTTCCTTGTAATCAGTTCCCTCTTTCCTACCCACTCTCCCTCTACCCTCCCTGTTTCGCCACTCACACCAATGGTCCTGTAGGGCTCATCCACCCTGGATTTCCTGGATTTTCAGTTCCTATCTATACCAGTGTTCTAGCCAGACTTGCAAGGTAGAATTCGAGTCATGGTAGTGGGAGCGGGGAGGAAACATTTAGGAACTAGAGGAAAGTTGTATTTTTCATTGTTGTTACATCTCACCCTGACTGGCTCATCTCTCTTTCTTATGCATATATGAATGTCACTGGATTTGTTTCTCTAGGCAACCCAGCCCTGCACAGTCACTGTGAGTGGGCAATGACCCAATGGTGGTGAGTACCGTTTTACTAAAGATACAGATTCTCTGGTGAAAGGACAGCCTAAGCAATTTAGCAATTCAGTGCAATCAAAGCTTCTAGGAGGATGTCAAGCACTTTAGCAAAGAAAGAGGACAAGAAGGGAAACAAGGGCCGGATTCAGTCATGGGTTTCCAGTCTTCATTCGTCCCTGAGAGAAGGTGGTCCACCGTGAAAAGCATCAATGATCTCTGAAATAATCCTGACTATATATTTTTTAATAAATCATTTTACTGGGGGCTCTTGCAGCTCTTATCACAACCCATACATCAATTGTATCAAACACATTTGTACATATGTTGCAATCTTCATTTTCAAAACATTTTCAGCTCCTTTTTCCCTCCCTACTCCACCCTCCCATATGCGTGAATCCTTGATAAATAATCAGTTATAATTATTTTTATATCTTACACCAGCCAGTGTTTCCCTTCACCCACATTTCTGTTGTTTGTCCCCTGGGGTGGGTGGTTAATAAGTTGATCATTGCAATCTGTTCCCCGTTTCTTCCCCCTTTCCCTCCACCTTCATGGTATCACTACCTTCCTTCATGGTATTACTACTCCCATTACTGTTCCTGAGGGATTTATCTGCCCTGGATTCCATGTGTAAGGAGCTGTGTACATGCTCCAGTCTAGTTGAATTTGTAAGGAAGAACTGGGATCATGATTGTAGGGGTAGGGGGAAGGGGAGCATTAAAAAACTAGAGGAATGTTGTGTGTTTCGTCGGTGCTATGCTGCACCCTGACTGACTCATCCCTTCCTTGTGACCCTTCTGTGAGGGGATATCCAATTGTCTACAGATGGGCTTTGGGTCTCCACTCAGACCCCCATCATTTGCATCCATATAATTGTTTTGGGTGTTCTGATGCCTGATACCTGATCCCATTGATACCTTGTGATCACACAGTCTGGTGTGCTTCTTTCCTGTGGGCTTTGTTACTTCCCTGATAGATGGCAACTTGTTTAATGAGGGTAAGTCAAAAAGTATTGCAACAGATCCCTGAAACCATTATTAATCAAACCTATTGAATCGGAAGCTATTGCTTCTCCACATATCCTCTATCTAAGTCTATACAATTATGACAGAGAAATTCCCATCTCTATAACTGTTCTTCAGAAAAAAAAAGGCTGCTCTCTTTGATTTATACCATGGCAAGTTTGATATCCTTGATTGGCTCAAATTGTGTTCCTTTGAAATATCCTTTGAGTTTAGGAAACAAGAAGTCTGAAGGGACATGATTAGGTCCGTAGGTGCATAGGATAAACTCTCCCAATGAAATTCTCTTATGGCAGCCCTGGCCACCATTGGAAAATTAGCAGGTTCATGGTGAATTTAACCTGCCCAGCAGATCGCTCAGAAGGCCACCCTGATGAGAGTGAGACTCAGGTTATTGCCGCGAGACCATTTCTGCAGTCATTCACTCATTGCAGAGACATGGTTAAACACATTCTGATTTGATTAAACAGATGAACTGGAACACTACTAGTAATACATTCTTATTTATCTACCTGCTATCAATTTTACCTGTAGGAATTTGCGTCTGACCACACAGTCATAATTTAACCATTCGGCACATACTGAAGACCAATGTCCAAGGTCCTCTGCCATGCCTTAGGGGGAAGTACAGATAAGAAAGGCAGAGTCCCAACCTACTGTGTTACTAGGTAGCACGGGTGGATGCTCCACACTTTGGGCATGCTTAAAGCACATCTTGTCTTTGGGAAAGTATGCTTCTGCAAAAAGAAGATATGTTAGTACTAACCACCCGGTCATGCTGTGAGTACTCCAAATGCCTGGGATGTATTGTCAATAACTATTCTCAATTATCATAGTGACCATAGAGCATAGGGTAGAACTGGCCCTGTAGGTTTCTACTCTTTATAAGAGTGGAAAGCCTCATCTTTCTCCCAAGGAGAGGCAGATGATTTTGAACTGCTGACCTGGAGGTTAGAAGCACAATGAGTAAACCCCTATGCTACCAGGACGGAGTTGGAACTGACTCAGTGGCAATAAGTTTGAGTTTTGTTTCGCTCTTTTATTATCAAATTGCCATTAGACCTATTCCTGAATAAAGTAGTGGAAAATTAATATCTGCTTAATGAATCTTTTGCTATTGACTTGGATTTAACTTGAATCAATCACAAACAAATTAATTTTCGAAAAATATAGAGCATTTACTTTGTCCCATGTCATTTGCGCCTAGCGAACATCGAAATCCAAAGCACTTGCCACAATAAGAGGGCTAACACAAGGTCTGGATCCAATTCTATTTTGCTACAAGCTCCTGCTTTTCCTCTCCTGATCATGTAAACTTGGCTTCTTCCCACTCATGTGCACATGGCTTTGGAACTCCGTGAGTGGGTCCAGAAGACCCTGGCTACATTGCAATCTTTTTTTTTTTTAACTGACCTGGCTCTTATCCCAAGCCACTATTAATCAATACGAATTGGGGTCAGGAATGTGGCTTAGCCACTCCTGGTGGATGGGGGTGGGGGTCAGGAATGTGACTGTAGGCGTTTCCTCAGGACGTTTCAGGAGGAAAATGGCCAAGAGTAGAGTTGTTGATAATGTACCCACCTTGAGATGATGATCATGTACCCCCCCAACCCCCAGATTTAATGTAAATGCCCACCTCTCATTCTGTGCTTTGAAGAATTTGCTAGATTCTTCTCTTCTCTGGATTTCACCAGTTCACAAATATA